AAAGAAATTCAGAGGATGAGGGTACAACAAGCGGCTAATGCTCGCAAATGTAAGCAGCTTCAGAGAGGTAAGAGTCCCATGCCAACCGCAGCCCATTTCGATAAGCACGAAGGTAAGGGATGTGAATAATCCCGCTAGGCAAAAATCGATAAGCTGTAGATTAAAGATGTTGCTAATTCAGCAGCTTTTTCCGAGCTAATCACAATGTTAATTGTAGAGCGATATGGGTTTTTACTAGTCAAAACAGCTTCATTCTGTTGGCGTATTTACTAGCACATTCATGATAGTTTTATATATTTCTGTGCTTGCTAAATTTTAATCTATTACCGCAATTTTCTGCTGCGGTAATAAAAGAATTGTAAAACTTCAATGGCGCCTCACTTTTCGTTTTGCGTCCGCTCAGCAAACTGGATTCGCGGATGGATCTACTTTATTCTATTCAAGACGCGGTTCTAAAGCAAAAAGAGGAGGAGGCATTGAACTTTTTCTCAAGAGTGTCTGATTTTCGCGAATTTATCGCAATTACGCATCCAGGTGCTGATGTCGTTGTGACCCTCAAGTTGCTTTGTATTCGCGCAGAGAGGCTCCCCTGCGTGCACGGAACGTGCGTGTTCATGGTCGACTCTACGCTATCTAGCGAGGTCGAGCAGAACGTAAAGAATGCTCGACGCTGGGATGGTAATATTCACGTGGCCCAGATAACTGTTTTGGACGATGAACGGGGGTCCTATGGTTCCCGGACTATCACGTTCAATCCGGGTGCCGTGTACTTACTTCATCATGTTGAATACGTGGGCATCTACGACGGCATTCCCAAGGGCAATGTACAGTATGAGCGTGACAACATTCGTAAGGTTAGATCACCTGTTGAGCGCCGCAGATATTTGTGGTAAGTGGGCAATCGTGCCGCACTTGAACAGAGGTTTAACCTCCGCGGAGCAGCCCAAGACGTGGTTAAACCCCAGCGACGTTCACTGGAAATGGTTCAAGAGCAATGAGCAGCTTAACTTGAAGATATAGGATTGTTAATGAATTAATCTAACAAATTTAAGTGTTCGCATCTAACACCTAATAGGAAATATTAAAGCAAATCGAATACCAAGAAATTGGTACATAATAACGCGATAAAAATACTGGAATACCACAGTGAAAAATAGCTACAAACATGTTGCTACTTTCTATCCAGCAAGCAAACGCTCGTGATAAGATCTTAGCCCCCCCCCGTCTTGCATGCTAATTCTTTTTGATGACCTCAGTCGGTGAGTCGCTGACAGTGAACGTTGGGAAACTTATCGAAATGCACGCTGCCCGCCGGGTGCAAGTTCAAGGGGATGGAAGTTCAAGTTAATGTAAGTCGTTAGAGTATCTAGAATGTTGATTAGAGTATCTAGAATGTTGAAGAAAACTGCTTGGGTGTCTAGAAAGTATGTAGTTTAGATCGCGAAAGTGATGAGCTACAGGCATAGTATGGTTCGAATAACTTGGGAATTAAATCCATACTGGTGTACAATGAGCTCGCCATAAGCTGCTCGTGCTAACTTTGGTTGACGCTCTCAATGCCGAATATAATTTGAGCGCGTTTGAGGTAATTTAATATGGCTCTAAACTAAAACCACCAGTAGCATTGTATCTCTAGCCTGGTGCAGCCAATCACGGTAAAGCATAACACCGGGTTGTATATGTTGACCGACGTATGGGCTTGCGGCAAGGACGCCGTACAGATTCCACAGAGAGATGCGTCTCACATTGTGCGTCTCTAAGCTGCACTGGCGTCAGTAGATCTAGAAAAAAATCATGATGCCCAACTGTAGCAGGTGCAGTTTATTCGAAGAAAAGCAACTGCTTCTTAAAATGTGCAATGTTATTGAAATTGAAGGCACGTTTAGTGAGTAAGGTTTTGTTAAAAAAAATGTACTACTTACAGCAGTACGTTTGTATCCAAAAATACGTGTCGATAGTGCAGTAAGCAGTGTGGTTAAGATCGCATCGTGGAGAACAGTAAAAGCAGTAGCAGCACAGCGCTGCAGCAACCTGACATGCGGCAGGTAAGCCGCTGTGGACGATGGGCGTCCAACCAGAAGATCCATGGGTGCTTCACTTCGATTCTTTGCCAGCTTGCGACGTGACTCAGGAGGCGACCGCACGGATGCTGTTAAAAATTCCACAGAGATGTGCCTCAACAGATCCAGAAAAGCAAGGATGGATCGCTGCTGGATGCGTGTTTGTATTGGTAAATGATAGCTAACCTCAAGATGGTTAAAATTAAATGGAAATGGGTGAAGGTTTGATCAGCTTTGGATTTTGCTAAGTAGAACGGCATGTCTGTATGAGCAGATTGCTGCAATATTAGTTGGTGAATGATTGTGGTTACGACACACACAGGAGAAAGATTGACTTTTGCACTGTAATTACATCAATATATACCCAATAGCCCGCAAGTACATTCCAATGCCAATCGAAGTGATAAAGGTATTGCTATCATTTACCACTTCTTAATTTGCGCTGCACACCTCATTATCCTACTTCGGAAGCTACTGCAAATCAATGGACCTGCTCGAAGCTATCCAGAACGATGTTCTCAAGCAAAAGGAGGAGGAGGCACTCAACAACTTTGCATCTGTGGCTCAATTCCGAGAATTCATTTCATCAACAAATCCTGATGCCGATGTCAGCGTGAGCCTCAAGATGTGTTGCGTTCAGGCAGAGCGACTCAACGGTGGTCATGGGACTCGTGTTACCTTGATTGATGCGAAGCAACGTGGAGTGTTTGAGCCGACCGCCGACGCACTGAATGATTTGACCCCCCTGAAAAGAAAACCGTATCTGGCCCAAGTAACCGTGTGGGATGCTAGGCCGAAAAAGGGGGTGTTTGGCAAGACGAACATTGATTTCCAACCTGGCGCCGTCTACAAGTTTTGCCATGTCGACGGTGTCGGCTTTTTCGCTGATATCGCGAAAGGAAACGTCGAGTACGAGCGTGGCAACAATGACAAGATCTACGAAGTTGAGCCCCCACTCAAGAAGCGCAAACTGACGCGCGAACTCGCGTCACAGCCCGGAAAGCACAAGCCTAATCCACCGCCTTCAGGTAAGACGTCCAAGACGATCACCGAAGATGTGGTAATGGAGCCGGCGGGCAAGGAACCCGGCGCCGGTTTCAGCCCAGTGGCTACGCGGAGCAAACGCGGAGATCCACCACAACCATGAAGCGTCCGAGTGCGTGACTGGACATCTTTGTGATGGCCGACCTGACAACAGGAAGCGAGCAGCAACAGCGGTGTAAGAATGGTCGGCGTTGTATATTCACTTTGGCTCATTTGATTTATTCAAGAATAGTTCAGATATTAGCTAAACAGCGTGATATAGGCGTTCTAGGTAACAAAATCGAATGAAATGTATGAAGCATTGGTATAAGTACTAACGATAAAATTTATATACACAGTACTGGGTAAATGAAAGCACGCTAAGATTAAGAGCGTATGCGTGG